CCCACAAACCCTAGAAATAAAACTACTCGTGCATAATTAAATCTAAGCTAAACATAATAATTAAACCAGACATGGAATAAGCAAATTAATTGAATTGCGGAAAAATAAAAGCAAGGAAGAAATCGTACCAAAAATAAATGGAAGTATGAATTGTATTAAGGAAATAGTGTAGAGAGAATAAAAGTATGAAGAACAAGCTTAAGAACTAAAATTAGAATTAAGAAAACGGAATTCTCCTCTAACGTCCAAACGTAATCCGCCAAAGTAAGCTGAAAACGTATTTATACTAACAACTAATTCTAAAATAAAGAAAAAGACAAAACAAACTAAAAATATCCTAATAAAAACACGCGCCCGGTCGGGCGAGGCTTCGCCCGGTTGGGCGCGCCTTTTTCTTTCATTAATGCTGGTTCGCGCCCGGTCGGGCGCGCATCCGAGCGAACCTTCGCCCTTTAGTCTTCTTCCTCGCCCGGCCGGGCGCGCCTTCGAGCGAGCCCTTGCCCGGTCGGGCGGATGCTTGGGCGGACCTTTAGTTCTTCTTTTCAATTGGGCTTCAAACTTGGCCCAAGACTAATCTTCTTCATGGTCCAATTTGCCCGAGCTCCTATTCACTTCATCGAGCCCTTAATCACCGGATTGATTTCTCAAATACGGTCCTGGGCTTCGGAATACGATCAGAGAAAGGCGTCTCGTCTCCAATGCTCGCGTAGCTCTCCTAAATGCCGGAAAATGTTCCAAATATGCAATTTCCTGTAGAATAATACCACAACTACGAAAACACTAGAAAACGAATATTAGTAATAAATTTGGCTCTAAAGAGCCAAATATACCCCTAACTATGATACGGGACGGGGATAAAACACTATATAAAATGAATATATCAATAATCTGAATTTATTGTATTATAATCTAATTTTTATTTTCTGATTTTTTGTGTCATGCTACTCATGTAATCTAATCTTGGTATATAGGATTTTGATAGTTTCTCTATGGAGCAATCAAGTGTGGCAATCAAATCTAAAATTGATATGTATTATGAGGAGCCACTTATCCCTCGAGGCACCAACCTTGACATTTTGTCTTATTGGAGAACTTGTTCGGTTCGTTATCCTATTTTAGCTAAAATTGCTAAGGATGTTCTTGTTGTCCTCGTATCAACCGTGGCCTCCGAATCAACTTTTAGTACTGGAAGTCGGGTGCTTGATTGTTATAGAAGTTCTTAAAATCAGAAATGGTGGAGGCTATCATTTGCTTAAGGGATTGGAAATTTGGGGAAGGTAATAAATGATTTAATATACAAGTAATGAAGTAATACAATACTTCTAACTTTTATATTTAGTACATGTCATATATTATTGATTGTAATTTGCTATCTTTTTTCTTGTAGCAAATATGGATCCTCAAATGGAAATGCTATGTGGATCAGTTATGAAGCTTAAGGTGGGGAACAACGATGACACACCACATACCTTGCCCGAACTTGAACAATTTGATGAGAATGCTTCTTCGAACATTGTTTGACTCATGAAGACTATGAAGTTTATTTAAAAACATTTATTTCTTTTTAATTGTGGTTTGTAATTTGACTTTATTCTGGTATGTAATAGTTAATTAGGTATTTAGACTTGTTAGACTTTATTTGGTTTTCTCGAAAATTTTAAGTTGGAAATCATGTTTGAAAACATTAGGTAAAAATAAAATCAGGTTTTGTTAACTGTTTGAAAACTCAAAATCAGGCTAAAAATCAGGTTACTAAGGTAAAAAAAAAAAAAAAAAAAAAAAAATTAAATTATAAAAATAAGGTCAAATTAGGTCGTTTTCGGGTTGACCCGAACCTGAAAATATCAGGTTCAGGTTGGGGTTTTCAACCCGAAAATTTAAATGGATCAGGTTCAGGTTCAGGTTGGGGGTTAGCTGACCCAAAAGTAGGTAACCCGAACACGAACCCGACCTGACCTGGTCCGTTTGCCACCCCTAGTTATTTATAACTCAATTATTTTGTTTTAAGAGTGGGGGAGTACAATGCACCAAAAAAATTACAACTTCAAAATTACTATGTTGTAAGGAGGATAATATTTATTGGCAAATTTGAGATAACAATATTTGTATTTTGGAGCAGAGATTACAAAAGACAAAAATCATAATAGAGCAATTTTTAAGAGACGACAAAAATAGTTTATATTTTTATGGAAATTTTGACTTTTGGTACCACAAAAACACCCCTGTTTCACTTTTGTTACCGCTCAGATTTTTTTTTTTATTTTACTACCACCTAAAATCACATAATTTAAATTTCACTACCACTTAACGGAATCCAATAGGATTCCGTTAAGTTTATTCAAAAATAAAAAATAAATAAAAAATTAAAATGTTTTAAAAAAAAAAAACCCCAGCCACCCTCAACTACCCCCCTCCCATCAGCCACCCTCCCCCCTCCCGCCTGTCGGCGGGCGGAGCTTGGGCGAACGCCGGCGACCCCACCCCAAACCCTTTCCCCCACCAACGGACGACGATGATGATTGTATGATTGTAGGGGGGGTCGATTCGAACAAGGGGAAAATCGAAAAATTTTGACCTCTAATTCGACAAGTTGTGTCGAAATTGATTGAGGGTTTTGTTATCTTTAGATTTCAATTGAAAAATCATGTAAATAATTGTTATTTTCGTTTTGAAATCAAAGAGTTTGATTCAAAAAATTTAAAAACCCTAACTTTTTCCCCAATTTGATTTTGAATGAAAATCATCCTATTAATTCAATAAGATTGAAAATTGATACCAAAATCTTGTTTTGGGGTTAAAATCGAACATCAAACCGCTAGAAAATCCTAATTTTGATTCGAAATTGTTCGAATTTTTGGACTCGGTTTTCTTGTTCGTCGCGTCACCGTGGCAAGGCGTTTGTTCCTAGTTGCGCGGCATTCAAGTGGGCGTTGGCTGGTTACGGTGGCTAGGCGTTTTCAAGCGTCGACATTGGTGGCTGAAAGTATGTTCCTGGCTGCTACGTTGGCTGCTACTGCGTCTGTTCATGGCTGCTGCTGCTGCATTTGTTCATAGCTGCTGCGTTGGCTGGGGAAAGGGGAGGGGAAGGTGTGGGGATCCGCCAAGGGGGATGGCTGGGCTGGTGTGGTTGGAAGAAGAGATGCGGCCCAGGTGGCTGTAGGGTGGAGGAGGAGTGGCAAGGGATCGGAAGGGGATTGGTGGCTGGGGAAGGAGGAGAGAGAGAGAGGCAGGGTTGAAGTGGGCCCACAAACGGCAATAGTAATAGATTTCGTCAACTGGTAGCAAATTTTAACATATGTGGTTTTAGGTGGTAGCAAAATAAAATAAAATTTTTAAATGGTAGCAAAAGTGAAACAGGGGTGTTTTAGTGGTACCAAAAGTGAAAATTTCCTATTTTTAATTTGCGTACCTTCACAAATGCCAAGGTTTCAATTAATAACCAACATAAATTGAGTCAAGGAAAACTTGTCAAGAATAAAATGAACATTGACTTTCAAAACAAAACAACCTTATTGTGCATAGGAATTTAAAGTACAGTGTAGAGCTTCTAAGGGTTATTAGTTCAGAATGCCTTTTGTTAAAGAACATCTATATTATTATTAAAAATCTAAGGCAAGGAGTATCATATTGCCATGTGTTACTTTTATTATGTTATTCCGCCACATCATATTTGAAATATGCCGAGAGTGAGGGATAGCTAAAGTGGTTAAAGCTTCCTTCCCGGTTCCAGGAGATCCTGGGATCGATTCTTACCCCCGCCCTTGTGGCTCTCTAAACACCAAAAAAAAATATTTGAAATATGCCACATAATCGGACTGTAGTAATGTTTTGTATTCATGGAAAACTCATCATTGGTCTAACCTCCATATATTAATGTTTAGTTTAATTGAAAAACTCTTCATATGTATAACGTCCATATTTATTTAGATTAGTAGTATATATTGACATCAGATTTAATTTATCATTTATCCTTTACATATTAATGCAAAAACTTATTATTATAGTCGAACCAACTAATACAAACAACTAACTCTACTTAATAATCTCTCTTTTTATAAAAATAAATAAATAATATAAAAAAACTACTTAAGCTCTTAGGGACAAACAAGGCCAAAGTATAATTTGATTAACTTAATAAATTTATAATGATTCGGGGCATCACTCGGGCCAAAAACTAGATATATTAAAAAATGTTCCTAAAATCGTTTATGCGCCACGTCATTCCCCTCACCTCAAAGAAACAAGATTTAATTCCTTACCATCTTAGCCAATAACAATTGATGTTATCTATGCATATAAATATAACTATAAATGACATGCACCAATTAAAAAGGGAAAACGAGATAAGAGTTTGAAAAAAAATTAAGAGGAATAAAATCAACATTTCTCAAACAATAGAATGTTAAAAATTATCTTTCTATACTCTTTATTAATTAGTAACATTATATTTAACACTGCATGACATACATAATCGATAATAATATATTTCATAAAGAAACAATTTAATCAAAGGGGGTAACCCGGTGCAACGCCCGGGCCGCACACTAGTTTGATTTAAATTACGATGGTAGGATTAAAGGTGGTTATTTCTAGTTATTGAAGTTCTGTTTCTGTGTGCTGTATTTCTTCAACTCAATACACATCCTTTTTCTTAGTTCTTAAAATCAAATTTACGAGAACTAAAGATTTGTGTATCTTTTAGAAAGTGTAGTTTTTAAACTTGCAACATGTCTGCTGGTTTGCGTAGTGCCTACCAAGGCTACCATTCGACTTTATGAAGGAAAAATGATTTAGCAGTGTACGAGGCTGCTAGCAACATAAATCTGTGAGTTCTCCTGCATAAAGTTCTAGCACTAGCTTCCGGGAGGACATTAACCTTAACAGAAGCAATATAACTGAATTGGAAGCAAAAGACATTCTTCTTGATTATATTTATAGGGCAGATGATGTTTTCAGTAGCATCAAACACATGATCATTCAACCCATTTGCAGAAGTAAAAGATTGTAGAAGTATACGCCACAAAAAGTTGGCATTTAGTGAATTTGAATTGGTTTAGAATTGGTAAATTTACAGTTGGAAGATGCTTGTGAATTCCCAGATTATTTGCAAAATCATATTCAGATCTCTAGCCCGTGAAATTATATTACAGGAAAATACAGTAGATATCAGCATTACCTTAGGAAATAAAAACAAAGAAAAAAACTGACAAGCTAAAAAAAAATATTTCGTATTACAACGACCTTCCTCAAAACATTCTGTTCACAATTAGCTACATGTTTGAATAGTAGATTACTACTTAAGGTATTCATTTTTTTTTTTTTTTGACAAATACATGAGGTATTCATGATAAAGTCATCCTAACAAAATACATGCTCAGAAAAATAAATTCCATTTTGCTATGATTATAATTTCATGAAACCTTCCTTAGCTATAGTTTTCAAGTATCTTACATCATAATGTATGTGCCATAGTTCGTTGGACCACAGTGGAGGAAGCACCCGTGCCAACACCAGGAAAGAATGAGCTTGTACTTGAAGAACCACCATGCTTATTATCACTCATTTCCATCATCACTTCCTTGCCAACCATAGAATTTGGTTCTGTGGAATAAGACACATGGGATGACCTGATCTCATCTAGCACAATCGCGATTTCTTTCATAGTAGGCCTTTCTTTTCCATTCATATTTAGGCACTGTCTTGCAAGGTTAGCAACAGCAACAAACTCTTCCTTCTTTCCCTCATCTAAAATTCGAGGATCCAAAATATCAAAGAGACGAGAATTTTCCATGTGGAACAGAAATTCAACAGCCAAACTAATCCATCCCCCGTCATTGGTGGGGCAGATTGGTTTTTTGCCAGTTATAAGCTCAACAAGGACTACCCCGAAACTGTAAACATCACTTTTCTCAGTGAAAACATTTGACTGGAAGTACTCTGGATCCAAATAACCATACGTCCCAATAACACATGTAGTCACATGAGTCTGGTCAATGTCGATGGCTCTTGAGGCGCCAAAATCTGAAACTTTGGCTCTAAATTTGGCATCCAAAAGTATATTTGCGGACTTGATGTCTCTGTGATAAATAGGGGCAGATGAAGATGAATGCAGGTATGCTATCGCATCAGCTGATTCTGCTGCCATTTGTAGACGCATTTTCCAAGTAACATGAAAATCTCCACTTGCATCATGAATATGCTGATAAAGTGTTCCATTTTGAATAAACTCATACACTAGCAGAGGAACTTCTGTCTCTAAACAACAACCAAGTAATCTGACCACATTCCGATGATTAATTTCAGATAGAATAACAACTTCATTAATAAATTGTTCTAACTGATTCTCATCTACTTTTTTAGACTTCTTAATGGCCACGATTCTACCATCCTTTAACATACCCTTATAAACCGTGCCTTGGCCTCCTTGACCGAGGATTCTGTTTTTGTTGAAGTTGTCAGTGGCCTTCTCCAATTCTGTGACAGAAAAAACTTTAGTACTCTGATGGGCACCCTCACTAGAACATAATTGTTGTTGCAACAACAAGCCACCATTTCTCTTGAAGTAGTCAGATTTATTTCGAATCTCTCTCCTTTTCTTTAGTACTCTGTAGAGCCCATAGCTACCAAAGAGCAACACCATCAATCCCATGCCTAAGCTAAATCCTGAAACAAGCATCACAAAAACATATAAAAATATTAAGTTTAGTTTTTGGATTCATATAGTCTGGAATTCTGGATACAAAAACTTGAGCACGATAACGTCTCCAAGCAAGCATTATATCCTCTATTGAGTCTATACTATGTTGTATCGATCCCAAGATAATTGAAAGATGATTATTACTTGCTAATCAAAGATAAGACCTATGATGGTCTGGTTTCTGTGATCAACAATCTGAAATCCAATTATTTATAATAATGAAACTTGAATTCGCAAATTAGCAACACCTAGGATGTAGGTTGAGGATATTCAGAATGCAGATGTGTACATCAGGAACTCAATATTATGGTGATTTCAAAGACGTCGATCTGGACCGCTGGTCATCTGAATAAGGTTATCAGCATGCTAGGACCATTAAGCTGTAGATGATGATTTCATTATTGGAAAGGAGATAGAGAAAATGATACCAGCTCATTTAGTTTTACAGTAAAAACAACCCATCACTAATCACTTCAAATTCAACCTTTTCAATGGGCTGCATGGCTATTTAGACAGACTCTAATCTCTTTAAAATGCTACAGTTAAGGCTTTCCATTACGGTAAGGAATGAAAAGCCAACCCCATTAAGCAAATACACCTCAACCAATGGATATGTCACATTACATTGATCTGAACGCAAAGTCATAAACTAATAACGAATCTTATAGAAAAGAAAATTGGCAAATTACAATAAAGTAAAACGCTTAAATAGCTGAACAAATATCAATGAAGTTTTTACCAAGTACTGATCCCCACTCTAACAATGGATTTTTCCTGCAGTAATAATGTAATCCCGTAGTATCACAACCATGCCTGCACTTCCTACATTCCTTCACAACTAGAAATAATTAAAAATAAAAAGGGACTTGATTAGTTAACCTCAAAATTATCTAGTAAAAAACAGTGTCCATCATAAAGGAAGTAAAAAATGATTTGTTAGATAGGTTGTTTACGTTGACATCCATATGGAAGATAGGGGTTTCCTTCGTAGTAGTCATGGCAGGAACAACCTTTGTCAAAACTGTTACTTTCACAATAAAAATTGTGATGATAAACTACTGAATTGGCCTGTATATATGAAGCTGGAGCAGCCCATCTCAGCATTGTTGGGACTGTGGTTTTGGAGAGCTCGTTTACTGAGAGCCTTGAGAGGCTGTCTACGTCCATTATTCCTATTCTCATATTGCCACACGTAGAAGAACCTGCTTCAACATCAAGATCCAACTCATAAAACTCAAAGGAGCTTTCATTGTTAGTTAACAAGGCTTGACAGCCTCCAACCCCATATAAATCTTTCTTAACAGCAGTATGTTTTCCACAAACGGTAGCACAACCACTCAAGATATTTCCCCTCCTATTTCTTAAGACAATACTGCCACTGCAACCTTCCATGACAAGAACATTCGACGAACTTGAGAAAGCAAATGGACTACCACTAAAATCAATACTAGCATTAGTCCTGCATGTATTATGGACAGCAGTTCTTACAAGTAGATATCGATACTGGTCTGACGGATCCGAGTCCTCCCATTGTATATTCATCACTTCTAAATTGAACTTATGCAGGAATGGTTTAGGGGTACGAAATGAAGTGTTACAAATGATCTCATAAAACTTGTTGTGGTAACAGTTGGAACTGATTCCAAAAGGATATGGAATCAGGACATCACCACAATGTTCTTGGCAACCAGGCTTGGCATAGGATGGAGGGGAGTATGATGCTGTTAGCTGCAGTACTAAGCACGCCAGCAGGAGAAACAGAAAAAGGGACATTAGCATCGTGTAATGTGTATGTTCCTACTTCTGTTATCACTGCATTGTATTATTATAAGCTAATTCAACTTTTTAAGCAGTACAATTATGACTTTTCCAAGTCAACGGTAGTTCCTTTCATCTTCTTGTGCAAAAAGTCAAGACTCCTATCTCCGATTATATTTTTAGACGATTCATTTAGACGATTCCAACAAGTACCATACGATTATATTTTTTTCTTACGTATAAATCACTAACATTAGACAAAAACATTTCACTTAAGAAAAATTCAAAGGGAGTATATATGGATTAGAATAGGATGCACATACATAAAATTAAAACGGATTTTTCACCAAATACCACCGAGTTAATGCGTAATTCACCATATACCACACAAAATTTTCTAATTCACCATATACCATTGAGTTAATGTATATTAACACAGAATGCCCTTTTTGTTAACTGTCGTTAGTCTGCCGTTAACGCCGTTAGTAATTAAGGTTAATTATGCCACGTGGCTGTCACATATTGGCTCTTATTAATATTATCTAATTAATTAGTTAAATAAAGAATTAAAAAAAACCCGCCACCACCTCCTCACTCCACCAACCCCGACACCCCCTTCCCCCACCAGCCCAGCTCCCCCTCCCTGCTGGCGGCCTTGCCCAACCTCCTCCCTCGCCGGCGGCCTTGCCTAGCCTCCTCCCTCGCCGGCCTTCCAGAGCTCCCCCTACCCCTGCCATCTCCCCTTCCTGTCCTCCTCCCAAACCACCAACGTCTCCCAGCCAACCACCACCCTATCCTAACATCCCCTGCTTGCACGAAATATGACTAGAACCCCCAGCCACCACCCTATCCCGCCCCCACCCACGCCGGCGCCCAGCCTTTCTCTCGCCAGCGCGTCGGCCTCCCTCTCCCCCTGAACCGACAACACTCAAAATCTGCAACCATACAACAACATCAATTCGACTTATCAGCATTTTTTTCGAACAAATTCGCTTCTAATTCGACCTTCTCTCTCTTCGTCAAGATTTGATGGGTGGTTTCTTTGCCGTCGATATTCCAATTGGGATTTGCAAGAGAAAAATTGAGGATTTTTTTAGGGTTAGAGAGATCAGGAATCGGGGAAGGGGAGTCCGGCGAGGAAATCGGGAATTTGGTTACAGGTGGGGGATGATTTTCGGGGAAGGGGAGTAGGAGTGGGATGGTCGCCGGCGTAGGGGGAAGGGGTCGAGAATGTCGCCGGCGGGGGGAAGGGGCCAGGGGAGGGCAGTCGCCGGCCATCTGGGAAGTGGTTGGGATCGCAATTGTTGCCGCCAGGGGGATCGATGAAAGTTTGAAGCTTTTTGATTGATTTTGGGGTTCGATTTTAATGGAGAAGAACAGAGAGAAGCTTCAATGGAAAGGGGAAATGGGGGGTTAATTTTTTCAAACTAGAAAAATTATGTTTGGGGGAGTCAACCCTATCAATGGCGCCAGTTAGATGTATAAGGGCATAATGGTAAAGTCCCCCAAATGGCAGACTAACGACAGTTAGCAAAAAGGGTATTTTGTGTTAATATACAATAACTGAGTGGTATATGGTGTATTAGAAAGTTTTTGGTGGTATACGGTGAATTATGCTTAAACTCAGTGGTATATGGTGAAATTTCCGAAATTAAAAATTATGGAAAATGAAAAGATGGTAGACGATTATAAGAAGGTAGTTCAAATAGATAATTTACAATCATTTAATAAGTATAATACCGTACTCCATAAATGAGATATGAGAAAGTATTCAACCTCCCTCCACCTTTAGCACAATACTTAAAAATGGAAGTTTTAATTTATATGCATCACTTTTTCTTTTAGTTAAAAAATTTACACTATCTCTCCTATCACATAGGTTCTCTTTATTTTTTCTCTCTATTTACCCCAAAAATTGCTTAAGACTTAGGCGTAAGTCCGTAACTACAAAAGTGATGCATTTAAAAAAACAGAGGAATTTGTCAAAAAAACCAGAGTAAGTACTAATATTGAGCAGTGCCAATTTAATAAGTATTACAGAGTATTTCTAAAAGAACGCTTCATAGGTTTGATATTTCAAATAAACATTATTGTTAGGATTTGCTTGGTAGATTGTGAATAGATGATAATGTTATCAATTTAGGCCCCATTTGCCCAATTTGTACGGGGTTGTTCAAGGGTAAGGTAGTCAAAACCTTTGTTTCTCTAATACTTTCATCTTCCTTTCCCCACTTTGATTCCACACCCTCGCTGTTGGATTTGAATTCTACCAAAGTTGAAAGTCCTCTACAATTTCAACTACCATCATAACTCCATCCTTAATTCCCTACGAAACACAAGTTACTAATTATATCTCAAGGATAATTTTATCCGTAGTAGTTAATTTTCATGAAAAATGTTATGTTAATGTCAACAGTAAAACAATTAACGCCCCAAACACCTGTTTTTATTCAAAAAATTTCATTACCGCCCAATACCACCCATTAATTGTTAGCGCAGGACAGTAATAAACTAATAACAGTTTAAGAATAAAACAATTTCGAGTGAACAAGCAATAACTTTAGCATTAACATATGCCCGGCATATATACATACGAATCCATTTCCGCTACATAACGCCATACTGACCACACTGAACAGACGATCAAGAAACAAGATTTCATGCACCCTCTCAAGGGAAGGATGCCAAAAATCGTTCTGCACGGTTGCTGCAAAGTTATTAAAAAAAATTGACAGAGACAAAAGCTCACTTAGAGATACTAATAACTCACATATCAAGGACTAACCAATACTAGTCATATCAAAAACAATAGAAACAATTTTATGCAATCACAATGATGATATTCCTGGTTCTGCTGCTGCTTAAGCTGCAGTCATCACAATGATGATATAATGTGTTCAGTGTTCATAGCCCTAATCCCTAGACTATCATTTTCCTCCATGGATGTGTGAATGAGTTTACTCCCTCCACCTCATAATAAAAAATTTGTCTCTATTTTTAGAGTCAAACTTTGAAAATTTTGACCAATAGTTATACAAGAATATGGTCATATGAGATTTAATTAAATTCGTCCCAATATGTAGTTATATAATATCAATTTTTTTATGATATGGTCATGGATGTATGTGATAAGGAGATTGATAGAGAGAAATGACAACCTAAAAAGGAAACAAAACATTTGTTCAAATAATGTATAGCATCCATTTTTGAAAAAAGTTGCAAATAATATGTAACTAAGGTAATATTAATTTATGAGACTTAAATCTTTTAAGATTGCCCCTTTTTCTAATATAATAAGATTAGTAATATACCCCCACGGGCCCCACCACTAAACTCACTTGCATATACTCATAAAAGTGAAAAGAACAAATACACCCTCTTCTATTCTACTTGCAATCTTTTGATTGAATTCTTAATAAAGCACTTCTTATTTATGAGGCAAACAAATAGGGACAAAGGGAGTAATAAGTATACACTCTCTTTTTTTTTGTCTACTCATAAGTCACTTTTCCATTCAGGCTGTTGTATTTGTTTATTCACTTTTACTTTATTCAATTTTTGACATACTCATGTTATCATCTTACCCCTTTAATACCACAATAATTACACTTTTTTCATAATTATTCTCTTACTTTATTCACCTTTTTTTTCTTACACAAACTTATCTTAAACTGTGTATCCATAGTAAATGAGTAGAGTATAAAAGTACGGAAGTAGTAAAACACACTCAAAGTAAAGTACCTATGCCATTAGTATCTCTTATTTTCCTTTGTTGTATAAAATAGAGGTGTTAGTATGAACTTAGGGTCTCATCTTATTAATCCCTCCTTCCCAAAATAAAGTTCCCATTTGACAAAAACAATGGGAATTAAATGGGAGGAGCAAGAGTGATTGTGAGGTCATGGAGTATAGTTCCCCTTTCGGTAGAGGCACATCCTTTTCGGACAACAGCCCTTGCACTTCCTTGTCTATTGAAGCCTTACCACTTATGGCTGGTAACTGACAGTTTAAGGTAACTGTATTTGATGACGTGTGATTCTATCTTACATTGTTGAAAAATTGCCATTTTTTTTTGTCCGTTTTTGCTATTTGAACTTTCACATGTATATTCTGTCGAAATTCCATAACATGAGGGGGCTCTGCCCTTCTGTTGCAATTAGCTCTCAGAATTTTGCATGCAACTCTCTTAACTCTTCTCCATTGGTTGCATATATATGAAATGAATCAAAATACTGTGTTTTGTTCCTTATTACAATGTGATGATATTTTTTATATGCGCTACTTGTATTATTTTTCCAATAATAATAAAAGTTTTTTCAACATTTCAAAGACTTTGGATTATTGCAACTTTTCCAAGTCGTCTCATAATCTTTCAGCTTCCCTGTCCATTTTCACAATAACTGTCAAACTTTGAAGTTTCAAACGAGAAACATTGGTCATCTGGTCCCTCTTAAAAGAAGAAAAGTATGCTTTAATTAATTTGGATCTTATCGAACAAACCAAATAACAAATGATTGAAACAAATTTTGCCACGACGAAGTGCATCGTTTTTCTCAATTGAAATTTTTTAGTATATGAAATCCCTAATTCAGATAATGCAAAATTCTCTGAAATTGAGTTGATTATTGAAAAATTAGGGTTCAAATTTAGTATTACTAAATCACAATTAACAAGTTTTATCAACAATTAAATTAAAAAAAAATATATATATAGCCGAAAGATGACTAACCTGAATTTATCTAGCTATGCCATCACTTCAGTTCAGCAAAAATGGTTAATTGCAGCTTTCTTCTTTCAGTGTTCAGCGATTTTTTTATTTTTTTTTATAATTACAGCATATTTTTTTTCCAGGACATTTTACTAGGTTTTATTCAAAAAAAGCAAGGGCCCAATCCATTTCATTAAAAGTTCATAACAAGATACGGTCCAGCCCGCTTAGGGGAATCGACAGCTCGATTATTTTTCTGCATATTTTTTTTCGGTGCTAATGAGGGCCGAGCCAGTAACTAGGAACAAGGAACAGGAAATTTCTA